CAGACGGGCCGGCGGAGGGCGGCTCCTTCCTTGTGCAAAAGGAGGCCCTGCCCGCAAAGGCCGCAGCGCACCAGTCGCTGCCGCAGCCGCCGCAGCCGCCGCCCACCCCCTCCTCGCCAGCGCCGCTCCCGACCCCCGCACCGCCGTCCGACCCTGCTCCTCCGACCCCGTCGCTTCCCTCGCTGCCGCCGCCGCTCGAGCCGCCACCGGCACCGGTCCCGCAGCCAGCGCCGCCGCCGCCAGCCTCGCCGCAGCCAGCGCCGCCGCCACCAGCCTCGCCGCAGCCAGCGCCGCCGCCACCAGCCTCGCCGCTCCCCGCGCCGCCGCTGCCCGCGCCGCCGCTGCCCACACCGCCGCTGCCAGCCTCGCCGCTGCCAGCGCCGCCGCCCGCGGAAGCGGCTGCCATGGCAGACACAGAGGCGGTCGTGGAGACGCCGGCGCGGCAGTCGAACTCGACGTCTTTGCCTACGGCGCGGAGTCTCTCCGCCCACGCTCCACGCTCGCCCCGCGCGCTGCCTCTCTCTGAGAGCCGTTCTGACTTGTGTGTCCCTAGGCGCTCCGAAACTTGTCCTTGCCAGCGCGGAGCGGCGACGCGAAGCGGGTGGGCCACTCTCGCCCAGCACCTCCCCTCCCCTTCCTCCACCTTAAGGTACACTCTCTGAGCCCTTCTCCTTCGCTCATTGGCCCCCCTCCTCGCCCCACAGAGTCGGAAGGGTCCGGCCGGCGGCCGTGGCCGTGCTTCGGCGGCGAACAAGTCCCGGAGTCCCTCTTCCTCTGATGCCCCGGTGGCGGAAGCAGTGGCGGTGGAGGCGGTCGCCGCACCGGCTAGTGCTGTCGCAGTGGCTGCGCCGGCAGAGGCGGTGGGGTCACCAGCTCAGGTGGTGGCGGCACCAGCGGAGGCGGTGGCGGCACCAGCTGAGGTGGTGGCGGCACCAGCTGAGGTGGTGGCGGCGCCGGCGGAGGCTGTGGCGGTAGCGGCTGTGGCAGCGCCGGCTGTGGTGGCGCCGGCAGAGGCTGTGGCGGCGCCGGCAGAGGCTGTGGCGGCGCCTGCGGTGGCGGTTCCGGCGTCGTCTGCCGGGCGCGAAGCGCGCACCAAGGGGGGGAGGGAAGGGCGGGGGCACCGGGAGGGTGTGAAGCCGAGCAGCAGCCCGGCAGGAGGTGGAGTGCTTTCGTCGCCGCCGCCGCCGCCGCCTCCTCTCGCGCGGTCGCCGCCGCCGCCTGCTGAAGTGGGCGCGGCGGCGGGAGAGGAGCACGAGGAGCACGCGCGCGGCAAGGGAGCCGGCAAGGGGGGCCGAGAACGCAAAGGGGGCAAGGGCCGCAGCAAGGGGGGCGGGGAAGAGGTCGCGCTCCGGCTCAGGCGGAGGCCAAGGCGGAGGCGGCACCATCGGCGGCGGTGGCGGCGCCGGCAGAGGCGGTGGCCGCACCGGCAGACGTTGTGGTGGCGCCGGCGGAGGCTGTGGCAGACGTTGTGGCGGCGCCGGCGGAGGCTGTGGCAGCGCCGGCAGAGGCTGTGGCGGTAGCGGCGCCGGCGGAGGCTGTGGTTGCGCCGGCGGAGGCTGTGGCGGTAGCGGAGCCGGCGAGCACCTCTCTCCCTCCGGTTGCGCTGGAGAGCGCGAGCCCTACGGCGATCACCGTGCGGCGGCCCAGCGGGGCGGCGGCGACTGCTCGCCTCGCCGCGTGGCAAGCCGACACGCCCTCGGACACACTGCTCCTGCCGCGCGCCTCCGCCGCCACGGCCACGCTTGCCGGCTTGCCTGGCAGCACTCGCATCTGCTTTGGCACGGTGCTGGCCGGCGCGGCCGCAGCCGTGGGCGACGGGTGCTACGAGTCTGAGGCCGGAGGGGGCGGTGGCGGCAGCTGGGCGCCGTCTCCGCTCAACGCGTTGCTCGCCGGGGCAGTGGCGGGCATCGCGCTGCAGCTCTATCTCGCTGCGCGCGCCTTTGGCGTGCGAGCGCGCGCGCCGCAGGCGAACGGCAGCGCGGCGCGGGCGGGCAAGCCGAACGGGCGCAAGGGCACGCGCGCAGAGACGTCGGGCAAGGAGGCGCTTATGGGCGGGGACGCAGGCGGCGACGCTGGCGGGGCCGGCTTTGACGCAGAGGGCGAGCGCTCCTCGCTCGGCTGCTCGGCCCTCGCCGCAGCGGCCTCCGCCGCCACGGCCGAGTTTGACGCTTTGAGGAGCGAGACGGGCGGCGGCGGCGGCGGCGGCGGCGGCGGCGGCGGCGGTGGCGGTGGCGGCGGCGGTCCGTTTGACATCTCGTTTGACGACGGGTTCGAGCCAGGTTCGCCGCCGCCAGAGGGCTCCGCTGCTGTGAGAGTGTGAACAGCGTCTCTTCACACATACATCCGTGAACAGGCTCGCCGCCGCCAAAGGGCTCGGCGCTTCCGGCTGCGGCGCCGGCGACACCTGCGGAGCTGCCGCCGCCCACCCTCGCCTCGCCGCCATCGCGCCCTCTCGCCGCCGCGCCTGGCTTCGCACGCGGGTTTGGCTCTGCTCGCGTCTCGCCGGGCGCCGCCGCCGCAGCAGCATCCCCCGCTGGCGCGGCGTCGGGCACGGCCGCGGCCGAAGCCGCGTGCACATCCCCGGGCCGCAGCCGCGGTGCTGCCGGCGACGCGGTGGCGGAGGGCGTAGAGATCTTGCGGCACGACGGTCTCGTGGTGCGGCGCCGCGGGCGGGGGTGTGGTTGCGCATGCCCCCGTCGCCACTGCACGAGCGGTCGGTCTGTAGGTGCTCATCTCGCTCGCCGACCCCGGAGTCGTCGACGGGGCGTGCGTCGCGACTCTCTGCTACGGCAACGACGCGCCGACGCCCGTCGACAAGCTCAACGCCCAGGTAGCGCGGAGAGCGAGAGGCCGCCGAGAGACCGCCGAGATTCCTTCGAGGTGCGGCTGAGATCGCGCCGAGGTGCAGCCGAGGTGCAGCCGAGGTGCAGCCGAGGTGCGGCCGAGGTGCAGCCGAGGTGCAGCCGAGGTGCAGCCGAGGTGCAGCCGAGGTGCAGCCGAGGACAGCCGAATCTAGCCAAGAGCGTAGCCGAGATGTAGCCGATGGCGCTGTATACGATGCGAGGTGTGCGATCCCGCCGCCACCACGCCCACGCGCCCGCGGACGATGTAGTGAGCAACTGCATCTCGCGCCTCTCCCCAGGTGGCGGTGCCGAGGCACTTGCGGATGCAGCTCGGCCCGCCGTCGGCCACTGCGCTGCCGCCCGAGCCGCTTCCGGGCTACGGGCCAACGCTGCCGCCGATCACGCAGACGCTGCGGCTCGCGCAGCCGGGCGGGCCGCCGTACAAGCCGCTCAAGGTGCGGCTGAGGCTCACGTACGAGCGGGACGGCGTGCCGGTGGTGGAGGAGGCAACCATCGGGCCGGAGTCGTTTACGTAGCACGCGGCGGGCGGGCGCCTCGAGGCGGACGGTCGGTGAGCTCGTGTCTGCATAGGGCTGGCGCGGGGTACGTGGGACGCGCGCCGCGGGTGGGAGAGGGGGGGGGGGGGGGGGAAGTCCAGAGAGGGAAGGGTTGCCGGTTGGCTCTGCGAGCCCTTGAGAGGTAGTGAGAGGGCGCAAACACAGTGGGCGGCAGCCGTGCGTTTGCGCGCGGTGGCGGACCTCGTCGCATGGGAGGTGACGTCCAGCAAGGCGAAGTTCGACGCACGACGCCCCTTCTCGCTTCTGGCCAATTGATACGCGTGCGGGTGTAGGGGGCCCGGTCCCCCGACGAAGGGTCGAAGCTCTGGACGCCCGCGGCGCGTCTAGTTGGCGTAGCGAGCGTGTGTGTCGCTGCCCTCGGCTACCGGCGTAAATACAGCATAGGCTAGTTCCAATTCACTCTGACACACCCACGCTAATCTTGAAAACGCGTCCAACGGAGCTCCGTGTTGCTCCCACGTCCCAGCGGAATCCCCCGCGCTTCCTGCGGCCATGGCCGATGATACTAGTATGAGAGGTCATCTGGCTACCGCGAGCGCGACTCGACTCGCCGACGTCGTCCGATGATTGTGCCTCAAAGTCAGCCTCCGGAGGCTATCGTGGGGTCGAGCCGGCGGTAGCCGTGACATGTGGTTCCACCACCCCTCGCAGGCTTTGCCTCTGACCGCCACCGTTCCCAGGCTGCCTAATGGGATGGAAAGGAAGGCTGGGCGAGCGTATAGAAGCGTGTTCGACCTCGTCGTGGCAACCTGCACGGCAGCGCTGGTAGGCGCGATGAGCGTCGCGCCACCTGACCCAAGACGGGTCGCAGGCGTCGTACCGAGCGTGTCGAGACCGTGTCCTGATGTGATCTGCACGGGTGAGTCACGTCGGCGTCAAAGGAGCGACGTGCGACCTCTGTCAGGGCTTGATCTCCGATCTCAGCGGCGTCGAGTCGTCTCCGGCGCGCGACAAAGGTACATACCCAGGACGCGCAGAGGCAGCTGCGACCCCGCCGAGTGGACGGTAACACACCGCGCCACCTGCTGTGTATTACCGTCCACTCGGCGGGTTCGCAGCTGCCTCTGGAAAAGGCACCGAGATGTACCTTTTTGCGCAAATGGTCACATCAAGGTTTTGTAACGCGAGCTGCGCCACAGTCAAAATAGCTGCTGTGAGGGTGGCGTCTGGATCGGTGGCCTTGACAAATGCCCAGGCGTGTATGCCTCCCACAGAAGGGTTCGTGCGAGCGAGAGGCCGCTGGTGGATGCGTGTTGCGAAACGCGAGACCTTGAGCACTTGAGCACTGGATAGGGTCGGTTCCGCATGGTACGGGACCCCTCGATCGTCTCGCCCACCCTCACTGGTGTGTTCATCGGGGGGGGTCATAACAAACACGGTCGCGAGACCTCGACATCGACAGCGCTTGCTGTCGATTGCTCGCAGCGCACGATCGCATCGCCGGTGCTCGCGTCGACCTTGGCTGGGGACGCCAAAAACGACCACCACCGTGTGAAGGCATGTCCGTGAGCAACTCAGCAGTGTCGCAGCGTCTTTGACAGAGGAGAGAGGCAGACCAAGGACTGAGCGTGAGCGGCAGCCCGCCTCATTGCTGGCAGGGGGGGGACCCCGGGGGGGAAGGGAAGAGATTTTCTTGTTGAAGGCCAAGGTAGGCCCTAATCAATCCACCCCGAAAAATGGGGTCGTCGGTCATGCGCAGCTCAAGCGCGCTGTCGCTGCCCGAGTTGCGGTCACGTCCCCGAAATCTTCGCCGGCCCCGCCAGCTCGACCAACTCGACCGCGGAGAGGCTGGGCTTGGCCGGCGGCGCGACGCGTGGCCTGTGCTGCGGCCATCTCGGACGTTGAACTAGTTCTCGAGGTTCTCGAGGTGGATATCCTTTGGCCGCGTTGGGTAGCGAGGATTGGTGTAACCCGACTCCCGAGCCACGGAGGCGTGTTTTCTGACGGCCGACCGTCAGGTTCGGGGTTCTTACCGTCAGTGCACGGAGTTGCCCCTTCTCCGACTGCCCCGGCTAGTTCCCGAGGTCGTCGGGTGTAGCCGTGAACACGCGGTGTGAACTAGCTCAGCAAGGTGCGCCGAGCAGAGCGACTGCATCAGCCAGTCGGCGTCGGTCGGCGTGCCCGTGTTCATGATGTTCTCCCACATGCCGCAGCCTTCCGGGTCGGTGTTGGAGTAGTGCGGGTGGGTGGTGCACCCGTCCTCGGAGCGCTGCTCGACCAGGTTGCCCTGCGTCGCAGCAGCAGGTCTGAGCAGATAAGCTTGAGGGGTGTCTGAGATGTGCGTGTGATGAGATGATGAATAGCTCGCGACCCAGCGATGCGAGGCGTGGCGGGCGAGGCGGAGGGTGGAGGCGGAGCGGCGGGCCTTCAGGTTGTACACCGACTCGATCAGGTTGCCGGCGTCCTTCACCATGCCCTCGGCCGAGCGCCCGTTGGACATGAACTCGGCGAGCGAATCGCGGTCGTAGTCGACGTACATGACGTGCGAGCCGGTGAAGGAGGCGCCGTCGGGGTTGACGATGAACGGGTAAGACTCGTAGTACATCGGGCCGTACGACTCCGACTGGAAGACAATCCGCACCGTGCTGTCGTCCTTGAGCATGGCACCCATGCCATCGGGCACACCGACCAGCATGTAGCCATTGGACGGGAGGTACTCGCCCACGGTGAGGAGCACCTTAATGTCGCCGTACGGGTAGTTGACGTCGCCCGACTGGCCGTCGACCGGGTCCATCGCCGGGTCCGCGTACAGAATGTCAGTCGCCTCGCAGATGTGCTGCGTGTGCGAGCCGATGGGCTTGAAGTTGGTCATCATCTCGGCCATGACGGTCGCGGCGGGCGTGGTGTGGTCGGCCATGTGCAAGACATTCGTCATAAAATCGACCGCGGAACTCTGCGCGTTGAGGTACACTAGGAGGTCCATCGACTCAGGCGGGCACGAATCGGGCGTCGTCGGGGCCGACGCGAAGCCGTTGGTGGCAAAGGAGAGTGCGGCGATCATGGTGGTGACTATGCGGTACCTGCGCATCGGGTTGCGAGGGAAGGACTGGACACGCGCGGGCGGCGCGGGCGACGAGGCGGGCGTGAAGGTGCTTCATCACCCGATTCAGTGTGCGGCCGACGGAGCTTCAGGCTTCAGCGTGATAGCCGTTGGGGGTATAGTCACCACATGATGCCGACGGAGATTACGAATGGAGAAATTGTTTTCGCCTGAAAAGGGGCAAAACTCGCGGGCGAACGGGAGGAAGCCGGGGAAGACGATCTCGAGGAGGACCCAGCGATAATCCCGGCGTCAGCTGTCACGATGCACCCGAACGAAGGGGACCCCAGCGCCAACATCATCGGTGGAGGTACAAGTGTCCGAAGAGAGAGTGGACCTGAGCAACGATATGACTGGGCGGCAAATGATCGCAGTGGGCGTCAGAAGACTCGTCCTTGCGCGAGGAGAGCTCGATAGACTCGAGGGGCCAGGATATGCAGCGAGGAGGGCAGAGTTACGCCGAGAGGCGAGAGCAAGGGATCGGCAGGCAGCAGCGTCGTCGCAGAACGAGGCAGAGGGGAGCGAAGCGACAGAGGAAGAAGCGACAAGAGAGAGAACGACGAGAGTGGGAAGACCGCGAGGTGGCATGAAGGTTGCAGCGGAAGGGTCAAGGGACTGTGAAGGTAGATAGAAAGAGGCAGACGACCAAGGGTGGGCGACGGCTAGCGCACCACACCCCTCTTCTTAAAATCCCTGTGTGGTGGCGGCGTGCCGTCCTCCCATCCCTCCGCCTTGGGTTGTCTGTTATCTTTCTTTTTTTCGCGGGCGACATGTAAAGCGCTTTTCGTCAATCAACCTCTCGCTCTACGAGATTCACGAACAGCACCAGCGGAGGCTTGGCCTGTGCACGTTATAGATCATGTGCATGTCAATGTGCACGTGCATGTGCGTGTGCATGTTTACAGCATGTGGCACCAGGAGCAGTTTCGTGTTTCGGTACGGTGTGATCGTCGATTAAAGTCGATTAAAGTCGTGCGACGGAAGGGAGCTCAAGGCGGCGACGATGCCGGAGGCCCTCGGGAGGCACGTGAGCTTCTTGCTGTGAATGACAACTTGGAATGCAGCTGACTTATGCATGTGCAGCACATGCATGTGTGCATGTGCATGTTTGTGTATGTGGTGCGTGTGCGTGTTGGCGTGTGATGCAACAATACAGCGCTGTTACTCGCACCAACAATCATGACACAGTACAGCTGAACGCCCACGGGACGAACGGCCGGTTCATCGCAAGTTGCTGCAAAAGCACGGCAGCGGCGCGCACACAGCAGAAAGAACCTGTGGTGTTCACGCCAAAGCACCATGCATCAAGACTGGGCATCCGCCCCTGCCACTCCGCGCCGGCTCCCCCTTCGCCCACCCCCGCCCGTCCGGAACACGCATGCAAAATGCAACGCACCACTCGCCTGCCCGGTTACGCAACATACTTAACAGCGGGCGTCCCCGACCCCCCGCGCCTCGCACGCCGCCCTCAGCTCGGCCCGCGCCGCCTCGCCCGCGAGGTTTCGCCACCCTGTCATCTCCCTGTGGAAGGCCATGGTCGTGAGCTGCGGCAGCGCGCCCGCCCGCACCGCCGCCGCCAGCGCGCGGCAGCCCGCGTCGCCAATCTCGTTGCCGAAGACGTACAGCTGCTTCAGCTTGGGCAGCACCCCCGCACGCGTCGCGGCCTCCGCGATGGCCGCGCACCCCTCGTCGCCAATGGGGTTGTTCGCCATGGAGATCACCTCCACCTCGGCGCAGTAGGGGAGCACCCGCGCAAAGTTGACGCCGTCGCGCGGCTGCCAGCCCGCCAAGCTGAAGGTGAGCTTCGTCGCGCCGCCGAGCACCGAGATGATCGTCTCGTTGTACAGCCGCAGCACCAGCGGCAGGTCGGCCTTGGGCGAGGTGAACTTCTTCGTCGCCAGCAGCTCCGCCACCTGCTGCGGGTGGAGCGGCGCCGCGCGCGCCGCCTCGTCGCCGGTGCCCACGTCGTACAGCATCGGCCAGCAGTCGACGGCGTTGGGCTTGGCGACGTTCGCCCACGCCCGCTCGACCGTCGGCCAGCCCCGCGCGTCGTACGGCGCGACGGTGCCGGCGCAGCGCGCGGGCAGGTCGGTCACGAGGATGGCGAAGAGCTTCTGGTGCACGTACCAGATCTGCATCGACTCGAGCGCCGCGCGGAAGGCCGCCTCCTCGTCGGCCTTCCTCTCGATCGCGATGCTGCCGTCGGCCGCCTTCTGATGCTGGCAAATGCTCGCCCAGTCGAAGAAGAGGCCCACGCGCGCGGGGAGGGGCTGGTACGGAGGAATGGTTGGATCCACGTCCCAGGCTGGCTGCTGCCGCCGCAGCTTCCCGCCCTGAGCCTTGCGGATGAGGGCGGCGATGCGGACCAGCTGCTCGCCGCGCGGGTCGGGGTGGCTCACCTCGAGCCACGCGTGCGACACCGCGCCGACCGCGAGCGCGCCGTCCCACCCCGTTGGCAGCGCGCGCACCTCCTCCACGCCGAGGTACGCCTCCGGGTGCCGCCGCTCGAGCTCTTGCCGGCGAGGCAGCGCGAGCCGCTCGCGCTCGGCGTCGGTGGCGGCGGCCGCGAGGGCGTCGGCTCGCTCCAGCACCCACCTCGAGTCGAGCAGCCTGACGGGCGCCGGCTTGCCCTCGGCGGCCGGCTCGAGCAGCGTGTAGAGGCTGTCGGGCGTGATGTAACACTCGGGCGGCGGCACGTTGATCGGCGCCGGGACGTGGGGCATTGGTTGGTCCTGCTGCTCCTGCGGCTCGAGCTTGGACGTCGAAGAGCCGCAGGCGCCCATATTGCACGAGGAATACTGTCCCGTTTTGCTGTTCACAGCTAGAGACGGCCTCTGCGGCAAAGTCAGATGCAAACAGCAAACGGGAAGGCCTGCGCAGCCTCTAACTATTTCTGCTTTCTGCATGTGCATGTGCATGTGCATGTGCATGTGCATGTGCATGTGCATGTGTTTGTTATACCTTACGGCTCGCATGTGCATGTGCACGTATCTTTGAGAATATAGAGGGTCCCGCGCACTTCCATATTCGAGAATATCCTCGAGAATGTAGATGCCCTGGCCGGCTTTTCCCTCAAGAATATACGAGCTTTCCGCAGCCCTTGACCTTAGTAGTAAGTAGACCTCGAGTCCAAAGATATTCTTGAATATTCTTGACGTTACCGCTGCGTAATCTAAAACGGTCTTGACGAGAGAGCTCGAAACAGCTATTCCCCCCCTCAACAGTAGGTTTCGGGTCGATGCCGACTGAAATCTTTAAGTTTTGGAGGTTCTGAGCGGGTTTGGGAGCGACTTTTGGCCTCCGTCGACCTACGCGTGGTCAAGATATTCTCAATATTCGAGAATATTCTCGAGAATATAGAAGGCCCGGGGAGAATATAAGCAAAAGAATATAGATAGTCCTGCGCGAGAATAACGTGCACAAGCTAAAGCGGAGCACAGAGCAACCTGCAGGTGATCTAGATAGCCGTGTATGTCTCGCGCCTTGCGGGGGGGGAGCGAAAGGAGTAAACCCAAGAGCGCCACTCTTGGCGCGCCGCCACCTCCCAGACATAAGCCCCCAAACTTCCGAAGCTCCACAAGCTAGGGACGATTCCATGTTCACGTGGTGGTTGCCCAGCCTTCTCGCAGCCAGAGCCTCGACGCGCGCGTCCTGTCCCACCTCGGTCGGCGGTCCAACCACGACGTACAACGGCGTGTCGACCCGCTATTGGCTGCCAGAGGGCGTCGAGACGGAAATTGCAGCAAGGCAGAGCAAGCCAGGCATATACACCTTGACCTCGAGTGGACTCACATCAAACGCAAGGAGGAGGCGCGAGGCGTGTTGCCAGAGATTTGGGGGCTTGCTCCGTTGTCGACTGCATTACATAGGGGGCTCTCGACGTGTGCTCGCCCGGGCTCTCTCATCAAACGCATTTTGAACCGCATACACCATACTCTGCTTACTGGGGACCACGTATCGCTTACGTACTCTCGGCTCCAGCGAGTAGACAAGTGTTGCCATCAACAGAGTAGAAGGATCTGACCTCGGGGCCGATGTGACCAAGCGCTGGTAGCGTGGTTTTACCTCACATCCATGGTCTCACAGTGTGCCGGCAGTCGCCGAGCAGCGTGTCGCTCACACAAGCCGCAGCACAAGTGACTGTGCTCTGGAGGGCCGTCCACCTCCGGTCTGCCGTCCAGTTGTGAGTTGAGGGCGCGAGCCCATGAGCGCATGTGACAGAGCGTTTATGTAGGTACTTTTAGCTTACTGGGAGAAAAGGGAGAGGGGGTTGTGTTCTCTAGGCCCCTAAGGGCTCTCTTTATGTATGTAACTAGTGAGACGATTTAGGTTGTGGACGGCCTCATCATTGTGGGCATTAACAGCTTTTCTCGCTCCCCTCTTGTGCGTCTTGGTGAAGAGTCTCTCTCTCTCTCTCTCTCTCTCTCTCTCTCTCTCTCTCTCTCTCTCTCTCTCTCTCTCTGTGTGTGTGTGTGTGTGTGTGTGTGTGTGTGTGTGTGTGTGTGTGTGTGTGTGTGTGTGTGTGTGTGTGTGTGTGTGTGTGTGTGTGTGTGTGTGTGTGTGTGTGTGAGGTCACGTCACTGCATCCTCTGCCGGTTCCTCCCGCCCGTCGCCTCTTCTTTGTTCGAATGTTTTTCAAGAGCCCCGAAAGCTTATTTTTGGTCGGTTTTTGGTGCTAAAAATGTATGTATGTAACTAGTGAGACGATTTAGGTTTGGGGAGGGCGCGAGTGGGAGACTTTTCGGCGGGCGAAATGCGGCGGTTTGGATGCGTCCTCTTTGGAACGACCTGTGCGGGACGACCTGTGGCAGCGATCGATGCCGTCGCCGGACGCGGCGGCGAGGCACACGGGCGCCGGCGTGGCGCGTCGGCAGGCCCACCACGAGCGGATGCGCGACGAGCGCGCTCGGGAGGCGGCCGCGGGCAACGCGGAGCTTCCGCCGGAGGACGACGCGGTCGAGATGGCGAGCGCCGCCCACGTGCTGGACAGCGTGGCGGAGGTGGACCCAAACTACACCCTGCTGCGCAGCAAGGAGACGAAGGCGAAGCGCCGGAAGCGAAAGCGCGAGGATGCCAGGGCGGCGCTCAACGGCCACACTGTCCTGTCCACCGGATCGCGCCTCGAGATCTTCTGCGACAGTGAGCGGTGGTACCCTGCGACCGTCATGGCGCGGGAGGAGCACGGGGACGGACGGATCGTGCACGAGGTCGAGTACGACGGCTACTCAGATCGGCGGTCACCTGATGCATCTTGAGCAGCCCGACCTCTCCCCGGCGGGGATGGTGCTCACCGCGTTCGGCGACCTAGATACGCTCCGCGTGGCCATTGGCCTGAGCCGTGATGTCGAGGACTGCCGCGATACGGTCGGCTCACCCATACTGAGAGCCATCTTCCGCGTTGCCGACGCAATCGCGAGCGCACCCCTTCCACTTCTGAGGTGCGGCTTGGGCCAGCGTCTCTACAACTCGCGCGCGGCAACGTCGCGCTGCACCGCACGTGGCCGCCTTCTGCGGACACCTCAGAGCGATCGACCTGCTGCTCGAGCGGGGCTCCTCTCCGTCGAGCAGGAGGCACCCCTTTGGGTTCACGCCCTTGCATACCGCCGCCATCCGTGGGCACGAGAAGGCCCTCGGGCGGCTGCTTGCTGCGGGCGCCGACCCATCCATCCGGTGCTCGCGCGGGATGACGGCTCTGGACTGGGCTGACTTCTGGGGAGTGGAGGCGTGCACCCACGCGGCTGCTACGCAGCGGCTCGTCGACCGAAATGTGCAGAGCCTGCCCCTGAGAACACCCGTCGAGACCTGCCAGACTTGACACTTGTATTCTCTGTGTGTACTACTCCTTCCTTTGTATCTCTCTCTCTCTCTCTCTCTCCTTTGTCTAGTGCGTTCATCTACTCACACGACAACCCTCACTCACACACACACTCACAAATTTTTGTAACGTTCCGGCTCTGTTCTCTGCGCCGCAGAGTCTCTGGGGGAGAGGGTCGAGAGTCTTTTCGCCGCAGATAAACTTCGTTATACACGTCTGCCGCGTATTACACACATGCGCACACCACGGCGCGTTCTGCCGCGCATTATACACACCATGCGCATTGAAGCCGCGCAGTGTGCAGGGCGCCAGTGGCTCCTAGTTGACTATTCTGACAGTGATGGCCACTGCTGCCGCGCCCTCTCCGACCGGCACGCCCGCGCTCAGCCTGCGCTGCGGCCCGCGAGGCTCAGTTCTGCCTGCTGAGCACCACCTCGACTGAGCGCCACGAGAGCGGAGGCTTGACCAAGAACGTAGCCCGGTCGCCCTGGCTGACGTAGTCTGCGCCGTGAAAGCTCGTTCCGAAGCGGCGCAGCATTCGCTTCGTCGGCGCCGAAAACGTGATGTCTAGCTTGCCTGCTGCAGCGCCCGAGCCGTACGCGACAGTGTCGTCGAGCGAGATGACGCCTTGGAGCAGGAGTCGCATTGTACGAGCCGTCTCCACCGTCAGGCGGATGGTCTGCGTGCCCAGCATTGGCAGCCATAGAGTATGCTCGTAGCACGCTCCAACCGGCGGGCGGTCCGGTCGTGCAAAGCTGCTGAGCCGCGCCGCCAGCTGCGACGGCGGCTGCCACGACAGCGGCAGGCGGCTCTCGAGAGGAGGAGGCTCAGAAGGCTCTCGGCGGTTCTCGAGAGGAGGAGGCTCAGAAGGCTCTCGAAGCGGCCTGAGCGGGCGGCCGGAGAGGAGCAGAAGGAGGACTCGCACGAACGGGACCATCGGAGGGCGCGAAAGGGCGCGGCAAAGCGGCCGCGGCGTCGCTTGGACGGCTTTCGGAAGTGACTCGGAAAAAGAAAAACCAGCATTTCTCCTCCTTCCACTTTTCTATCTCTATACGACATACATACTACATACCTTACGGCTTTACTTGCCCCTGTCCCCTCAGGCAGAACCGGGCTCAAAAGAAAGGAACAACGGTACATGACACATCTCTCTGCGGTTGGGCGTTTGCTTTAGTTATATCCCTGACTTACAGCCTTACAACGCCGTTGTTTGCGTGACTCTGCGGGCATCAGTCGGAACCCACCGCCCGCCGGTCTGCCCAGCGCGGCGTCGCCCTAGCCCTAAGTAGCCGTGGAGCGCGCGGGACGGGGGCGGGGACGGGCGGCCTTTGCCAGCAGCACCGGACTCCTCTCGGAATCACAGCCTCTCAGAAGCCAAAGCCGAGCGATGGCTTCGCCTCGCCGTTCGCCTCTCGTTCGGCGATCCGTTCCGCCTGCTTGTTGACGTACTGCACCTCGTATTTTGGCTTCTTGCCGCCCGAGGAGGCGACGGCCGTCTTTGCCTCGGCCGCCTTGGCAGCCTTGGCCTCGGCGGAGGCGAGCTTTGCCGCCTCGGCCTTTGCTGCCCTGTCCGCCTTGGCCTGCGCGATCTTGGCGAGGCGAGCCGCCTCGGCCACCTGCGCCGCCTCGGCCTCGGCCGCCGCCTGTGCCTCCTGCGCCGCGACCTTCTGCTGGTATGCCTTCTTCTGCGCAGCGATCTGCGCTTGCCTCGCAATCTCCTTCTCAGCAAAGTCGTCGATCGAGTCGGCGAGGAGGAGCGGCATGCGCCACTCGACGACCGCGGGCGCCGGCTGCGTCGCGACGACAGGAGGCGGCGAGAGCAAGAGGCCGTGCGAGGAGGCGACAAGAGCGAGCATTTTCGTGGTGTGGTGTACTTGTTACGTGAAAACCCGCTGGGACCCGGACGCCAGCACACTGGTGGTGCCGGCGTTGCACCTCCACACCGAAGGCTAGCTCAAAAAAATAAAACGGAAAGCCCAAAGACATACACACTCGCCGAACCCGACTCATGACCTCGGCTTCCCCGGGGAATTCGATCGCGAGATCGCCATTGTGATTTGCGCCGCCGAGCGTGACTCATCGAAGTCGGCGATCGGCTCCTCGCACCAAGTCGTTGCTTGAGCGCTTCAACCTCAAAAACTTGCCCCTCCTCCGTGGTGCACGTCCTGCTGAGGGATATCTGCACCCCGCCAGCGGCAGCGCGCGACTCGGCACTCGACTCGCCCCCACTCGGCCCCACTCGCGTCCGAACACTCCACGCCGCCCCCACACACGCGACACGGCACACGCACACGATCCGGGGGGCAGAGACAATAACAGCTAGCGCAACAAGAGTCCTCTCACAGCAGCGCATCAAAGTAGAACGAGTCGCCGCGGCGGGCGAGCTCTGCAGCCTCGAGCTGAGCAGCAGAATCCTCGGAGTCGTTGTTCATGTTGTCCTTGGTGATGTCGACGACCGTGGACACGTCCACGGCGGAAGACCGTGCGATTGTGGTCTGCGAAGCGGGCAGGAGGGACCTTGGTAGATACTAGACGCGGAGGTCGAGGGAGCTACGACGATCAGCCGGTGCCGCCGTTGCGTCCGAGAGCCTGTTGAGGACTGCGTCCGAGACGTCGCTCGCCCGCCTCGGCGGCAAACGTTCTCCGAACGCAGCCGCGGTCAGCGTCTCGATTTGCACGAGGAGGGCCTTTTGCTGCTCGAGGTCGGCCTTTTGGCGGGCCTGCACCGATAGTGTGAGGGCGCCGAGCGCCGCCTCCGTCCTCTCTAGCGACCGCTGCAGCGCGTCTAGCTTTTGGGCAAAACCTGTGTCCGCTTCGCGTACCGCCCGCCCCACCGCCGCCTCGATGTCGTGGGCGCTCAGCGGCGCCGGCAACTCTCGGAGGGCATTGCGCACTGCCGTCTCCAGCATCTCGTTTTCCGGCTTGCGCACTGCCGTCTCCAGCATCTCTTTTTCCGGCTTGGGAGAGTGCTCCAATGGCTTGTTCACTGGCTGAACCCGCTGAATCTGCTGCTGCGCCATGCCGAGGAGGGCGCGCGCCATGAAGGCAACCCCGTCCCGGCTGGGCGGCGGCGGCGCTTTGGCTTCAACAAGTGTGCCTTCACCGTCAAGGCGCTTGGAGCGCTCCTTCAAGCGTGTGATCAGAGCTTGGCTGCGCAAAAGGGCAGCCTGTTGGTCGCTCGCCTCTCTCTCCGCCTTTGCGATCGCCGCATCGACTCCCACCGCCTCCATGGTTGGAGGCCCGGCCGTACCCCCCACAGCGCACAGGAGGGGATGACCACAAAAACCGCCGAAAAGTCGGTGTATTCTTTTTTGGCTCTAAAATTCTTTTTTGCTTCGCAGCAGCAGCGAGCGAGCTCCTGCGTCGCGTTTTGCCGACGCAGTGTGGACGCGCGCCGCCCAGCGGCGAGCGAGCGTGCTCGGAGCTGGGTCGGCGCGCGCGCGGGCGGACGGCGCCTGTAAACAGACAGCCGTGCAGCCCACTCATTCAAAAGCACTCTGCCCAGTAGGGGCAAATAAATAAATACAACGGACATCCCAAGCTAGGGCCTAGGGCTGGGTCGAGGACAGACACGTCCCCACCTTTGCAGGATTTTGCAAAAGCGAGGGGGGAGGGCGCATCGCGGCGCGGAGAGGGCTGGGCACAGGGCACAGGGGATCTCTCTCGCATAGGATATGCACTCGGCGGCACGAGGGCAAGGCTGGGCGTCCTATGTTTGTGCTCCCCCCCGACTCCCCCCCGGACCCCTCGCTCTCGGGCACGAACCATCTGACCACTCATCGACGGGGCTTGGCGAGCGGCCGCGCTGCGGGGCAGGGCTGGTGAGAATGGGCTCTGGCCACTCGCCCGTGCGGCTGTAACCGCGCATCAGCCGAACGGAGGCCTCGACCGCCCCTCGCGGCAAGCTCTCGAGCATCTCGAGCAGCTCGCCCGCCGCCAGTAGGGGCAAAAAAGAAAGAAAGAAAACGGACAACCCAAGGGAGGCAAATGGAAGTCCGACTTCCCACCAAAATTCTTTTCTTCGAGGCGCGGTGCTTAATTCTTTTCTTCGCGATGTCCACCCCGCCGCGCCGCCGCTCGCGCCGCCTCGCCTCCGCCGCGGCCGCCGCGCCCTCGCCGTACGCGCCGCCGCCCGCCCGGCTCCTCGACCTCCCCAGGGAGCTCCTCGAGCGCGTCCTCTCCCGCTTCAACAGCCCCATCGACATCGCTCGCGCCGCGGCCGTCTCGCTCCTCTTTCACTCGCTCGCGGAGCAAGGCATCCGCTTGTGGGCGCAAGAGCGCGGCTTCGAGCTGCCGCCGCCGCCAGCGGGCGAGAGCTGCGCCGTGCGCTGGCTGTGCTTGTCGGCGCTGCTGCACGAGTCCAACCCGCCGGCGAGGGCGGCGGCAGGCGAACGGCACAGCGTCTTCATCGACGGCGAGGGGCGGCTCTCGTCGTGCGGGTCAGCGGCAACGGAGGGCGAGGAGGAGGACGACGAGGACGAGGAGGAATCTCCAGGCCTTCTCGGCCACGGCGAGGGCGTGACGCGGCTCAACACTCCGACCCGCCTCCCGTCAACGCTGGGTGACGAGCGCGCCGTGAGCGTGTCGGCTGGATCCGACAACAGCCTCGCCATCACCGCCGACGGCAGCGTCTGGAGCTGGGGCGGTGGCTACGGTGGCCAGCTGGGCCACGGCGACCAGCAGGACCAGTGGCAGCCCAAAAAGATCGAGGCCTTGGAGGGCCGGCGCGTCGTCGCTGTGTCGGCTGGAGGCAACCACAGCCTCGTCCTCACCGCCGACGGCGCCGTCTGGAGCTGGGGCTTTGGAGTCTATGGCAAGCTGGGCCACGGCGACGAGCAGGACCAGCTGCTGCCCAAGAAGGTCGAGGCCTTTGCTGGGCAGTGCATCGTCGCTGTGTCGGCTGGAGGCAACCACAGCCTCGTCCTCACCGCCGACGGCGCCGTCTGGGGCTGGGGCGATGGATGGCAAGGCAAGCTGGGCCACGGCGACCAGCAGCGCCAGCTGCTGCCGAAGAAGGTCGAGGCCTTTGCTGGCCAGCGCGTCGTCGCCGTGTCGGCTGGATCCGACCACAGCCTCGCCATCACCGCCGACGGCGCCGTCTGGGGCTGGGGCGATGGATGGCAAGGCAAGCTGGGCCACGGCGACGAGCAGAACCAGCTGCTGCCCAAGAAAGTCGAGGCCTTTGCAGGGCGGCGCGCTGTCACCGTGTCGGCGGGAGATTTGCACAGCCTCGCCATCACCGCCGACGGCAGCGTTTGGAGCTGGGGCGATGGATGGCAAGGCAAGCTGGGCCACGGCGACGAGCAGAACCAGCTGCTGCCCAAGAAGGTCGAGGCTTTCGCTGGGCGGCGCGTCGTCGCTGTGTCAGCTGGAGTCTACCACAGCCTCGCCCTCGCCGCCGACGACGCTGTTTATGCTTGGGGACTGGGCGAAAGCGGCTGCCTGGGCCACGGAGAGGACCTGTCGAACCAGCTGGAGCTGTTGCCCAAGAAGATCGAGGCGTGGGCGCCGGGGCAGTGAGAGGGTTTGCCCGTGAGCTCCGTCGATCTCTTCTATAGTGTGTTGAGCAGCGAAAAAAGGCAATTCTGATGCGCGCTCCCGCGGGCCGCACAGCGCGCGCACACACTACGCTCTCTCCTCTGAGTCTGACCTCTCTCTCTCTGGACGTACAGCTCTTGTACAGCAGCAACACCACACGCACCGCCGAGCACGTCGAGCACCACGCCCGCGCCCTGGATCGGCGGCGGGTTCTGAAGGCAAACTATCAGTTTTGAAGACTGAGGTGTCACCGATCTGACGCGTCGCAGGCGGGCCGGGCCGACTCTGTGAGTGCCGCCTGGATGAGGCTGTAAAAGGCCATCCCTCCGCCGTTGGCCTACAGGGCGCCCGGGCGGCGGTGAGGCGTGTGCGGGGTTGAGCCGTGCGCCGCACCGCCGCGCCGCTCACGAGGAAAGCACGCGTCAGCCCTGCGCCGAGCCCCGCGTACCTGCGGCGGCCGAGGTCTCGCCGCTGTGGAGGCGCTGCTGCCCCGGGGGGGGGGGAGGGAAGGGGCGGGGCGGGGATCCGGGCCAAGGGGAGCGGGGCGGCGGGGGGCCGGCCCTCTCACCAGCCCGCGATGCCTCTCTCCGAGTAGATGCGGCCGAGCTGCGCCACGACGCTGGTGGAGCCGCCTCCAGCCTGAGAGGGAGAAGGAGAGGAAGAAGGAGAAGGAGAGGGACAAGGAGAAGGAGAGGGAGAGGCGGGAGGGGGTTGGCGTGCGAGCGGCGGGCACGGGAGGGCGCGCCCCCGCCCTCGCGGCGGGAGGCGGCTCGCCTGGATGCACGACTTTGCAGTGTCGAGAGGGAAGGCCGCCGCCCACGCCAGCACGGAGCAGCCGCCGCCTCCGACAAAGCTGGCCGCGAGGGGCGGCAGGCGGGAGCGGAGCGGCGCGCTCGCCTCAAAGGCGGCCCAGAAGAGGCCGATCATCGCGGCGTTGCGGAAGACCGTGCTCGAGAGGCCTCGCAGCAGCAGCGGCAGCGACCACGCGCTCTGCAGCTGCAGCCGCGTCTTGACCAGCTCCGCGGGAGTCTCGAGGCAGCCGCGCATCGCGCCTCCCACCGCCCCGCCGAGGAGGGCGGCGGCGAGCGGCCGCTCCTCCAGCAGCCCGTGCGCGCGCAGCCAGGAGCGCGTCGCCTCGTAGCCGACAAAGGGCACCTGCCACGGCCGGCGGGAGCGGGGTGAGAGGGTGCAAGAGGCGGCCTGACGGTGCAAGCAGCGAGCAGCGCGCCGCACGAAACACGATCGACGCGGCGGTGGCCGGCCCGACGCCACGATAGAGGGACAGCAGGCCGCCGACCGAGGCGCTCCCAGCCTTGGCTGCGCCGCCCGACTGCAGCCTCACCTTGATTGTGTCAAACGGATGCGAGATGGCCGCGGCGGCGAAGCCGTACCCGGCGCCTCCGACGAGGCCGCGGAGCAGCGGCCCAACCACGGTGTCGTGCGGCTGGGCGTCCTGGGCGGCATCCGCGGGCTGGAGGAGGAAGAGAGGGAGCAGGAGCGGCCTGGAGCGGGAGAGCATGTGCGTTTTTGCTGGCGAGCGAGGAGCGCGCGACTGCGAAAAGAAAGGTATAATTTTTTTGCCGGGTTGCCCGGCCGGGTTGCTGCGCAAATCTCGCGCTGCGCTAGGCCCAGAGCGAGTTCGCGCTGCGCTAGGCTCAGACGGCGTGCGTGCGCGGGCCGCCGGGGTGAGGACCACCCCACCTTCCCACCACGCCCACCTCCTTCGGGCTCGGCAGCTTGTCGGGCTCTACCTCAGCCCTCAGCCGAAGCTGGGGCCGGTCCCGTAGGCCGTCCGTAGAGCCGAGAGAGCCCCCGCGTCCCGATGAGCGATGAATTCGCGGGGTCGGCGCCGTCGGCGGTCCCCGTCCCGGGGGGGCGGGGGGCTCGCGGGGGCGGGGGTGGCGTGCGGGAGCGCAGCATTCCCAGCCCTTGAGGGCGGGTTTCGATTAGTAGAACAGTCCCTTGTGTCGCTGGTGCGCTTGGTCCTTCTTTGAAGCTATTTATACACCCTCACGCTGGAAGTGGCGAATCGATGCGAGCGCGCCGCGTGCTCCACGCGCGGCGCGCTCGTATCGACTTGGAGTCCAACGCGCGCAGCGGGCGGGTAGCACCTCGGGAGCTCGCTCTACCCGGGATGCGGAGAACTGCCCACAGGAGCGAGAATGTTCGCCGGCGAGAATCTATCTGCCGCGTCTGGCGTCTGGCGCAAAAGGTCGCGCAGTCGTCCGCACCTGCGGAGGCCGCCGCAACTGGCTAAGGTGTGGGTGTGGGTGGGTGTGTGTGGGCGGTGAGGGCGGCGGCTAGAGGGCGAGGGGCGAGGGGGGGGGGAGGGCCACCCTGAGTCGGGCGGGGAACTGCCGGCCCACCGGTGGCGGGGGGGTTCAAAAAAAGCCGCCATACTCGGCGGGGGGGGGAGCGAG